ACCATGGTGCAGTAAGTTTTATTTCCATGGTAGTGGGTAATGTTGTTTTGTGTGCAGTAAGTTTTATTTTCACCAAAAAAAATTCACCACCACCATAGTGTAATGTTCTTTATGCTTAAAGACAGTTATTTTCTTATTCAACAATCATTTTAATTATAAACTACAAAAGACACATCAACTTGTGATGTGAACAGAATCCAGGATGTCACTATTATATCTTTGATTCAAAACTAATGAATAAACTAATTAGTAAAGGTTTGTACATACATTTCCAATCTCAAAGTTTTGCCTCATCAGAAGGTAGAGAGAAGCCGAGGCTTGAGAACGGACAGTGCTGATACATGAGCTGCAGTGTTTCAGAAGTCTTAGACACAAGTCTGCACATTGTTCTGTTTCTTCTTCAAAGAGAAGTTCAGGAAACTATTGAAAGTTACATTAAAATAAAAATATTCTTTAGACAGCATATTAACTCTCAAATTAGCAGTTTCTTTATACACCTTTAAATATTGGTGGGGTCCACATACTACATCATATTGAGTAATGTTATGTCTCTGCCTGTTACTGACAAAACAAATTAGATGAAATTAACTATTTTCTATGTAAAATACATAGAGGACCCAATAAATAATTAATGCAATTAACTGAAATAGTATTTTGTTTTACAGTTTTTACGTAAGTCACGTGTTATTGTTATTAGGAATCGAATAACCAACAACACCACGAACCCACAAGCAATTAAGTCCATAAATAGTCTAAAAAATGTGTTTTAAAAGCCACATAAAAATACATGAATCAAGAATTTTTTATTCCCTTATGCATTTACTTAGCTGCCCCTTAAATACAAATAATACTTAATTTTCTTTCACTGCTTAATGACTTAAAGCTCTACTAAATGAGCAAATGCTCTTCTCCGAGGGCTTATCACACGAGACAAGAAACATTCTTAAAGGAAGACAGACTTTGGTGTATTTCAAATCTTAAGCAATCCTAACTAATATAACCAATAAGTAGTGACTAAGCACCAAGGTCTAGGAAGCAAGTTTTGAGAGATTCCTATATTTTAGAAAGATTAGTCTTGAGATGACTTATTACCAACAAATATGCTGCTGGTTGGAAAACAGGAAACTATTTTCATCAAACCATAAAACTCCCTCATCATATTAGACAAATTATTCTTGAGTTAACAAAAAATTGCTCTGCCCTTTTCAGAAACAATAAATATTATATAAACTTAATAATGGTAGCATGTGATGTTGTGAGAAAGACAGAAAGTTGATACAAAAAATTAAATCCAGTCTGATGAAGTGAAATAATAAAAGCCATTTAGAAGTAGTATACATTGAACTCAAAATGCATATTCAGTTCTAATGTAATTTTACAGTAAATGCTTTATTCCTTAGAGCATTTGAAATTAGCATCTTAATTGCTGTTATTTCTTAAACAGGACTAAAAGTTGTAAAATCCAATGTTACATAACCATCTGTATTTCTGTTCTAATGCAATGGTTCTAGAAAAGTACAAGGAATTAAAAGTTATATGTAAAACAGGGCAAGATGTTATACCTTGAAAACCAAAGATCGCTGGGTTGCAAACATATTCTGTAGCACCGTGGTGCTCTGGTTACATCCTAAGGCATGCAAAAGAACCCGCAGAATTACCCCAAGGAGCCCCGGGAGAGAATCTGAGTTGACCACAACCTGTAATACAGAACATACTAATTACACAACTTGAAACAGTAGATGTTGGAAACAGATTCTGTTTAAGATTATATAGTTCATACTTCATGTGTCATGAAACTTGGAGTCACTTCTAGGGTCCAATGTTTCACTAACTTTAGAAAGAAAGAACAAATACTAATACATATAACACAATAGAAATAGCTGAATAATATACAGTTTTCAAATATAAACCACATATACCATAAATTAATACACTTGTTATGTGTTGTTAATGTTTTTATCATTTAGGTGTTTTACTACTATGTTACTTGTTATCAACTGTATTTTGTGGAAAACTACACGTATGCATACTGTCAAGTCTACTAATAACTAATTATGATTAAAACTACTGTCCATTTTGTAACGACTTTAAATAACCTCCTCTTTCACTATCTGCTTAATTCAAGATGACGACCACAATGAGCCATTGTTTGAAAACATAGTAGTACATTAAATATACTAAGATACAAGTTCATAAAAAAACTGAAAATTTATTAACTTTTAATTGCTTTGATAATATTTAAACAATAACGTATTTGTTTATGTAAATAAAAATGTATATCTGATTTACCATTCCACCTCAAATTTATAGCAGTTGTGCATCAAGGGGAGGGAGGGAGGAGATGTAAGGGTGCCTTTTTCAAATATAATTCTTATTCTTTTCCACGTCTCACTTACTTTTAATAAAGGTTAGGATATGTTCTAAATAAATTATTTAACTCTATCTGCCTAAGCATCATTTACTGCTCGTATCACAAGGTTTTGGTGGCTTACATTCAAAGTATTACTAAACTACTTTTTGTTTAAGTTATACCAATTAGTATAGCATAAAATCTTAGCTAATAATCCATATTTTAAAAGTGTATATATTTTAAGTTCTTAATTTTAAACAGCAATATCTAAAAAAATCCTGAATTCCCCTAGAATGTATAAATATGATCCCTTTAGGTTAGTTGAGGTTAGATTAGGTAAAATAAATAATAATAATAATATCATAAAAATGTTTCACGAGGTACACACGTGAGCAGCTCATAGTAGCTTGTGGGTAATGTAATTTGATAGCATAACATGAGCTGCATGTTCACCAAGTGATTTACAACTAATAATGACATGAATAGTTGTTAAACACAGTTCAAAGGACAATAAAATAATTAAATTTAATTATAAATAGATGTATGCTGTTACAAGTTTAAAGCTACTTAGGATAAACAAATGTAGTTTCATGTTACATTTGAAGTCATTCTAAAAAGAAAAAGAGGGTAATTTAGATTTATTTAAATTTTTTGGGGGTGGTTATGAGGTCAGTCAAATTGACCAACATTGTATAGAGTTAGGGTAGAGAAAATAACATAAAATATAAAGTTTAATGAAAACAAACATTTGAAATGTATTTAGGAG